TATACCAGGGTACCTTGGGCCTAGCCCGCACTGTTTTGGTTTTTAAGGTGCGTGACGATCAAGAACTTGAGAGAGTGTGGTCGTGTAATCCTCTACAAGTACATCCAAATCCAGTGGGGTGATGGGATCGCTATTACCTCGATCACATAGCCCTGTAAGTACTACATCGTTCGATAGGCTCTCAGCGTCCAAGGATTTAGTTTTCCTAAACTTTATTATCCTAGTCTGAAATGACGGCTTACTTATGGCAACATGACAATGTACAGCTGCATGATCGGAGAAATAGCGACAGGCGCGTGGTGGACTCGCCAGAATATCCTCAATCTTTCTTGTTATAACAAGATCCAGGGTGTGACCACGTATGTGCGTTGGCTCTGTCACATGCTGCTCCAAACCGAGAGACTCAAGCAGATCTAAAAACTTAAGTACATCAGTGTCATTAGGAACATCCACATGTATGTTGTAATCACCAACGACAATCAAAGGCTCTTTGGATAGAATAGTGGACTCCATCAGGTCAGAAAACTCCATCAGAAAAGTATTAATGAGAACCCTGCGGTGGTCATCACAATTCTGTGGACGGTAGACGATCACAAGCCGTATCTTGCGGGAAGTCGACGTTTGGACCAACAACTCGCAAAATTCAAGCGACTCTTGAATTCCATCTCGAGTCGTGCTAACACGAAGTGAATCCTTGTACAGTAGTCCAATGCCTCCACCTGTCCGTTCTTGTCGTGGAAAGTCAATAAACTTGTAACCAGGAGGACACAGTTCTATTCTTAGCGCATCATCATGGGGCTGGAGCCACGTCTCGGTAATCACAACCAAGTCATATCTACGTTCACAGACGTAATCTACAAAATCGGCTGTCTTGTTGCGCACCGACTGGGCATTCATGTGACAAAATGACAAAAAGACCCCATTTACGTAGTTGGCAGACAAACAATGCACTTTAGTAAAGTTTGAGACATTCCTAGTTGTTGATTTAGACAATGAAGAACGTGATTGAGGCGCCCGTAAAGTTCCATTATTTTGATGGCGTGATTTCACAATTGTTGATATACTGCATCCCTCAGGACCAGGATTAAGTTTGAAGACCAGATCGCCAATTAGCACTTGATGGAATGAGGCACATGAATTTGCATAGTAGGCTATTGGACACCTGTGCCTACGTAGGCGTAACCGACATGAGAAATCAGGCATATTCAAAATTTCCAGGAACTCGGGTGGAACGTAGTAGCTGATCCATGGACATCGGAAGAATGTAATACAAGCAGAGCCATTTAACAGATTGGTGAGAACAACACCATTAGAGAGATCACTGTTCCATGAAGAGTGAAACAATACTTCGACTCCAGCCAATAACGTGGCATTGTTCCTTATGCAAATAGGGCTCTCAGTCCAACAGTTCACTAAAGACGAGAAACAACCAAATATCCTAATATTCCAGCCAGTGAAATGCGTAAGCAACTCCAAACCCGGCCAGTAGAAAGTGTGAGGTCTTACACATATACCCTCGTGGTCGTATTTCAGAGGGAAGGCAGCAGTAAGTCTTAAAAAGACCACAAACACGTTGGTGGTTTTTGCGTGCCTGCACCTCATTTGCATCTTGCATTTTAATCCTTCACTTGATGTTTACAAGTCACTTTTTTTAACATTGGCAAGCCAAAGTGAACTCCAGGAATGAAAAAAGGGAAGGCTTAAACATGAAACAGGACCTTGATATCCGGTTGCGTTTTTCCGTCAAAACCACTCTACTAATATATCGAAAATGGCCCATTTCATTTGATAAGTTTCTTACGACCAAAGAAAAGTAAGAGAGCGGACAGGTTCAAAACTTATCAAGAATAAAATACAGTAATTGTAGCAAGCAGTGGTTAAGTCACCGAACTAGCTTGATCTTTCGCTCTTTTTGTCCTAATATGAGCTATATCCACCTGAACGATAGTTTTAAAAATCAAACAAAACAAAGTAAAAATATACTCGATAAGGATCGGGGTAAGATGTTTGTCTGTTCCTGTTTCGTATTTTCAAATCTCGACCTAACTTCCCGAAGCCACGTGTTTCACAATGCCACGTGTTTCACAGTGCTCTAGTTTTGCGGAGGTGTCGCTTCCAGTAGACCTCATTTTGAATTAATTAGCGCTATTCATTCCGCACAAACACGAGAAACATGTTTCTGAACTAGCAACACTCCGCTTAAGCCGGCGACACACCTGGAGATTTTATACGCCGATCGCGGCGAATTTGAATCTGTGGCGAAAATCGCAAGCGATTTTCGCCACAGATCACTGCGGACATTCTTAGCGATTTTTTTCGCCAATCGCGACAATGTGGCACTTCAGCCTTGATCTCAGGTTCCATCGGGTAACGTTTAATCAAACAAAATGGCGACAGACAAGCGAAAAAAAAGTGTCGGCTGCTGAAATAATTTTGCAACTAAAGCGCTCCAGGAGGCGTTCTGAAAGGTGGGACAATAGAAAATTGTGGTCGAAGACATGGAGTTATTGAAACGCAGTCCTTCTTGGGACGATTACTGTAGCCGCTCGACGTTGCATCAAATAAGCATGGCTTTTCTGACCATAGTGTGATCGAATTGATTTCTTTTTCTTTTGCTCAGAAGAAAAATAAATGGTTAATTTTACTGGCGGAAAAGGAAAGAATATCGTGGGAACGAGCAGACTTAGCGAATGCCGGTATCCTTTGATGTTTACTGTGATCGGAATAGAACTGATAACCGACGAGGCATCTTTCGCAGTAAACATTTATCCTCTATCTGCTTTAATTAAATGTTTTTGAACACTCGCTTTTTTCTTTAATAGTGCCGACTGGTTTAGTGCAACACTACTCGAAGAATATTATCACTGCGTATATCATTTACGCTATGTCGGTGTGCTTGTTACCCTTTCTATAGATTAAGCATTCGTTCTAATTTTTAACATCTTTTATATAAATTTGTTAGTCGTAGATCACTCCTAAATTTTACAATTTACAACACAAATAATTATACTTGCTGACAAGAATATTGAGCTTTGCAACGTTTACGAATGACTTTAATTTTCTCAACTCGATTAACCATGTCTATGATGCACGAAACTGGCTTTCTTTTGGACTGAAAATTCTTGATCTGCTAAGCATGGCGAATTTACTGTGGCATTTTCTACTAATTTTTCCGCAGTTCCATTAAGCGTAAAAAAGAGCACAAAGCTGTGTTATAGTTTCCTTTACTGCGTTTTGAATGTCTTTGGTCTTCCGACAGTAAAGAATTGGATTTAGAAAGGAATTAAGGTTGATTTAAGCAAATGTCAAGACTTATACCTGGTAAAGTGATAAGGTTAATCCACGAATAAGCATTAAAGCTGTTATTGGTGAAAAAGGAAATAGCATGCTACTAATATTACGTGGACTCGCAAAGAATTGATAACTGTCTTTTCGTATCGTTCCATTGTTAGCTTGCCACCTGTTCCGTCACCTCTATGGTGTTGCACAGCCTTCCGCTGACGCCTAATATTGTAGAAAGGTTCTTGTGTTAAAATGAGGTGAGATTATTACCTCTAAAATAGACACTACACTGTGTATAAAAAAGAATACCTTCATGTTCCAGAATGAAATGGCGCTCACTTAAATGCTTTGGACCCACAGTAGAGAGAAGACGACACAAACTCGATTTACAAAACGCGTTTTAAGTTGTCTATATCGTATTCCTAATAACAACGCCATTCGTTTGAATAATCAAACATCAGTATTACAAAGAATACTTAATCGTCATGTGAACAATAAATTTGTGTTCACATCACATTTGTCGTGATCAAGTGCTGGAAACGTTTTGAATGGTGGCCCTTTTTTTACATATTGGCCCCAGATGATGGAAATTTTTCTGACAAGTGCCTCATTCTAAAAGAAAAACCTACAGTATCTGCTTTTGAAGAGATATACTCTACTGTCTGACATCATGCCTTAATCGCTGTGGAAGATTCATCTTTTTCTGGAATGGTACCTTGGAAAATAATTCTTTGCAAAATGGCTCTTTAGAAAAAGTTACCTGGGAAATGGTACTTTGGAAAATGGTGCTTTAGGAAATGGTGCTTCGGGAAATGGTACTCTGGCAAGCCAAGGAATTGCTCTGAGCGGAAAAGAGCAGGGGATTGGATACTAGTTGGAAGTGCGGGACCTGGGCTTAGTGCTTGGGTGGACAGCAAAACGAAGATGACGGCCGCCTGAACTACTAAATAGATGACTCTGTATCTTTCCTGGCAAAAATCATGCCCAAAAAAGTGAATAAATGGCGTCGGTTCGTTGTTCTTTCGTGACAGGATCCTTAAGTTTGGCGAAAATATGCTCCAAAGTCTGAAAAGGTTTTTGAGCAACTTTAACGTTGTGGCTATTCAAAATTCTCTTGATGGGTTCCGACTTTTCATGGCAAATAAAAATTTGCCATAAAAAGTCTGTAGCCAAAACTTTACTTAGGAGGGCTGACTGTCTACCATCTTCACTCGATTCGAAGGCTGAGGAGAGGAAATATGTTTCTAATGTCCTAAAGGCAAATGGCTATACAAAAACCTTTCTCAGCCTTGGGCTTTTCTTATGAATGTTGAAAACCTCGAAATGGACAACTCGCCAAAATGGGTTCTTTTCATCAAAGAAAGCGGTCAGATAACAAGTGATACGCTGTGGAAGTAAGGTGAGGTATTTTTATTGAGAATTTGACGTATTGTTTTATTCCTCAGAGCGGTCGTAAATATTCTCATACAAACTCTTATAATTCCGCCATGACTGTTATTGTGCAAGATGATCATCTCACAGCTGGAACTTGGGCCGCCTGTGGTTACATTAATGCCTCTAAATTTGAAATTTTCTCCATATCAAAGAAGCACACCATACACTGTAGTAAATATTCTTAAGGTAAATTCAATGAAATATTTGCATTTATAACAAATGTTAAGCTAGTGGTTATTCGTTTCTATGATCGCTTTTTTGTCGGTTGAACGACGAAAGTAAGTTTACACCATAATTTGTCTTCTGCGAACTCGAAAACTGCGATTAAATGCTTCATAGAATCTGCTGTTTCGCAAACAATAAACCCACGGGTCGATTGCCGCGGAAGTAAAGGCTACTGCCTCAACAGTCGTCCAAACCTTATGATACATGGTGGAGTAAACCCCATTTTTGCTCAGATATTGAGTGAAAGAAGTCACTAGACTCGGCAGCCAGCAAACAACGAATAGCCCCACCACAATACTAACTGTTTTAGCAGCTTTTAAGTTCTGTTTTCGTCTGTTCACGGATTCTTGATTCTGTAAAGTAACAACGTTTATTCTCCTGGACTGCGTCGCAGAGGCTTTCAATATTCGAATGGAGCAGAACACAATGACGATCATAGGAATTAACACTGTTATGATTGTAAAAGACAACCACAACTCAATAGAATCATCTCTCACAAAAAACCTTGAACAGGGGAGAAGAAACGACAAGACCCATACAGAAGCTATGATGAGATAACTTCTCGTGTTAGTAAGAAACTCTTGGTAGCGGAGCGGATGAATGATGGCAATATACCTGTCCAGACTAATGCAGCATAGGTTGAACGTTGTAGCTACAGTGGTGTGTATCCACAGATAATCAATAGCTTTACCGTAAGTTTTCAGATAACTGTCTTCGTCATAATTGATGCACCTGGCCGTTGCCCATACAGGGTTTATAACAAGTCCTACCGACAAGTCCGCCACAGCCAATGAAGCAATGAAAAAATTCGAAATAATTCTGAGGGAATGATTTCTGGCGATCAACCATAAGACAACAGTGTTGCCAATTACGGCCACCAGACCTGTGACACTGAACCAGGCTGCTAAAACGATCCTTTCCCCTTGGCTAAACTCCTCCCTGGTGCTGTTCATATTGCAAAGGCGTCTTTTCAATTCTGCCAACTTGGCGTGAGTTCTTCTCTGATATTAGATGACGAACAATTTATGGATTTAAAACACTTTTAATATATTTCGCATATTGTTTGGCCCAATAGGTAAAGATCAACACCGATGAACTTAATAAATTATTAAAGAAACACTGGTGGCCGGTTTTCAAGCCAATGTCTGGGTGGTGAATCACCTTCAACCTCTAGTTGTTATGCTTTCGTCCATGCATTAATGTAAGCTGCCAACGCGTCGAGTTTTTTATTAAATAACTCAGTGAGTTGAATGCTGTGTCGAATGCTTTTGTCTTCGCCCGTCAAAACGTCGAGTTTTGAATAATAGTCAATTGTAGCACAAAAGAAGTACAGTCATGCCAAGTGAAAAATCCATCCCCTCTCGAGTGAAAAGGTGAATTCCCAGTCAAGAAGAAATATTTCATTTTGAAGTTTTTGTAGCAGTTCGTACAAGTGATGAAAAATTATGTTATACTGAATCTAAAGGCTACACCAATCGTAAAAGTACCAAGATCGCTACGACAAGTAAAATATATTGGAGTGCCGTTTTATTTACTTTGAGCTTTTTATTTCTTCTTTAGAAGTGTACTGTTAGACATTTAAGAGTTTTCAAGGTTTTTCCAAATCTTCCCTTCCTTTCTTGCAATTTTTTTTGTTAATGCTGGTGCCATATGAATGGTGTTTTCTAGATCATCATAACTATTGATATCTGATGATCAATTGATAAAAGCACATATCATTGGTAGGAATTTAAAATTCACCTGCTATAGGTCATGTTTTAATAAGGATCCTTTTATCTTTCTCATTTATTTAAATCATTCTCACTGATCATGTACGAGCGCAGATAAACACCTCCGCTCACAAAACAGATATTTGCTGACTTTATTAACTACCCCTCTTGTGAATTAAGTTGAGTGAGACATCGCCGGAAAAATCTAAATCGTTAACAAGTGTAGATCCCAAAAAACGCTCTTAATTCTGGCTAAAACTTAGAGGAATCCTACAAACCATCAAAAGGAAAGAGGAGCGGCTTGTGCTTGTCAATATCACTCTGAGGTAAATTTGAATGATAAAAACTCAGCAAGCGTTCTTCGCATGATTTTGACTCGTTGTTTATTCACCTTCCCATTTATTTATTTTATATCTGAATAATTATCTGTTTGTGACAAAAGCGTCTTTTTGTCGAGCAAATTAAAAGGTAATAAATGCTTCCCGTATATTTCTAGCACTTGGTATTTCACAAGTAGCAGTTTTTCTAGATAACTGATTGAAATAACAAAGATAGGTTTCGTAGTGATACATCTAATGCTTCAGCATCCTGAGGAATTATAGATATTATCATAAGTTCCCAAAAACTACCCTGTACAAGATAAAATCGCCGGAAACTTTTCTGAAAAGCGCAAGTTAATTCTACCCAAATATAAAATTAGCTGTTAGAATTAAGGCTTTACTTAGAATAATTGACTAGGAAATTATTATTTGTAGGCTTAATGGTTTACCGAAATTTCTTCAAGTGACAAGCACTTCGAGTTTTGACAACAAACTTAATTAAGAGCCAACAGCTGTTTTGCCAACCATGAAAACAACCAATATTCATGGTTGGCAAAACAGCTTACCTTTTTACCAAGCTACTTTTACTTTTTTGAACAAAAAAATTATTGCATTGTGCGATATGACTTCATAAGGTAAGTCTACCGTCTTTTGAGAAGTCGAATTGTGCGTGATAATGCTTCATAGAACTCGTCGTTTCGCAAACAATACACCCATGGGTTGATTGCCGATGAAGTAAATGCCACTGTTTCAACAGACGTCCACACAGTGTAGTAGGCTGAGTCGTAAGACACTAGGTTGCTGAAATAGTGCGCCAAACCAGTGATGAGACTTGGCAACCAGGAAACCACAAATAGCCCCACTATGATACTAACTGTTTTAGCAGCTTTGTAGTTCTTTTTACTTCTTCTAATAACGTCTTGATTCTGCGCACAGCTGCTCGTCGGTTTTATGCTATTGTAATGTACTAAAGCAGCTTTTAAAATTCGAAGAGAACAGAACACGATTATAGACATAGGAAATAATATTGTCATAACTGTAAAAGATAGATACAATCCGATAGTTGAGAGTTAATTCGAGTTGAGTCGACCTGTATGAGAGGTATCTCGAAAGTTAAGTTGAACTTAGTTAATTTTTGTTGCTCGGCATGCGCAGTGCATTCATGCAGAACTTCAATCTGAAATAATTATTGAAATATTTCTCACGTATATTCCATGTCAATCCACTCCACATAAAGGTACTTAAAAGAACACCTATTTGCGTAGCCCAACGTTCCAGATTTGTAATAATCGCAAATTTGTAATGTGACGGAGCACGCATTGTTCTGTGGCTGAGAGGTAGAGCGTCGAGCCCCGAAACCCAGAGGTTTGGGATTCGATTTCTTGTTCAGATTTTTGTTGATTTCTGTTGACGATGTTTTGGACAGACCTCTCTTATGAAAGGCACACTTGACCCTTTCACTCAAGAAATTTTGAACTATAGCTAAATAGCAGAGTCGACACTATTTTGCCAGCATGAGGAAAGAAACAATTCAACCCAGTGTTCGTTCAAGACCTGCCTGAGAGGTACCTGGCAAGTTATGTTGAATTTAATTAAATCAGTTGCAGGGTCTGAGTTGTTCTGCAGTCGACATTGGGATGGCAAAGACTACCTCGTTCAGTTTTACACATTTCTTGCCGTCTTATGTGTTGTTCTGTCTGTAACACCGACTTTGGAAAACCTTGTGATTCTGGTCGCACTTTATAATATTCAGCATATGTGTGACCATGATTTTCTCTGGTGCATTTCTGGCGAAACTGACCTCCATTGCAGTGGATAGACTCCTCAGCCTGTTATTAGGGATAACATACGGGCAAGTTGTAATTGTCAATAGAACTCGCAGGGTCGTCCTTTTTATACGGATGAAAAGAAATTGTGGTCGGCCTACTTTACCATTGGAACACGATATCATACCTCCTTTCAAGCGCAGTATTGATAACATTGGAGCTGATTATTTTAACATATTCCTACTCCGGAATATTTCGCACCATTCCACGTCAACAAATACAACTGCGGGATGAATTAGAAGGGAAAAGAGCAAGAACCTCGCCAAACATGACGCGATAAAAGAAGACGGTCATCAATGCTTTGTGGGTTCACCTTACATTAACAGTCTGTTATCTTCCTTTTTCTGGTGTGACAGTTGTAGTCCTTATTCAAGGGGTAAACTCGTCTCTTTTTCTGGCCGAAGCACTTGCCGTATGTTTAGTTTACCTAAACTCGTCGATAAATCAAGTTCTCTACTGCTAGAAAATCAAGGAAATTCGAAGAGCAGTGAAGGAATCCATAACAGATTTTTTCTCTTGTTTCTCGACTTAATATGTATTCATATCTGTGTAACGAAAGTGAAAAGTTTAGACAAATCGTGTTTTACTAGATCATTGAAAAATATTTCAGATCACGTTAGATTTAAGGGCCGAATATTAAAGAAATTGATACTTTAACACTTAAACAAATTATTTTACGACACTAGAACGTTTGAATTAAAGAGACCAGTGATAATTTATGTATGAGATCCCAAAATAATCGAACATTATAATTTTATTCTAGGCATGACTTGGTTTTTTTTTTCAAGTCGATCGGCAGTGCATTTATACAGTAGCTATACACCCCTCATATATGCGAAGTCAGTTAACTCTATGTGCATGGTGACTAAAACAAGACCTCTTTGTGTGTGAAGTTTGGAAATTTGAAAAAAAGCCGGCGCCTAAAACTAGTGGCTACCAATCGTTCTAAACCCGTGAGGATCACAATCACTCCTCCAAAAAATATTTCATATTGCACATCATTACGTTGCATTAATTAGAGTCTCTAAGTCAAAAGGCAAGGCAACTGTGAAAACTTTAAACCAAAAATTAACTTCGCTTCGATTATGTTAAAAAAATTTCAGTTATTTGTTATTATAATTTGTGTGTTTGCTCTTAGACTCCCAATTGTTCAACGGTCACCGAAAATACGATGTTTTTCACGTCACAAAAAGTTTAAATTATTCAAAACACCTTTTTTTCAAAAAAAATCACGTTTGCAAACATTTCAAACGCTTGGACAAGAAATGAATGAAAAAGTTTTTTTTAACCCCGAATACCAAATAATTTCACAATAACGCCAATTAATTTTGGCTTAGAGGGGATAGTTTATCCTCTCTTGCTTTGCCTTGATCAAAATAGCGACGGATTATTAACAAATTTTTTCTGGGCCTCAGTGCGGGAGGAAAAACGTACATCCATATCAGTACGATTTGCCCAAAACGCGGAGGTAAAATTCTTGGCTTGCGCGGGCTTCACATCCTCCAGCTAGTTTGGTGTTTGTGCTACAATTCCTTTAATTCATGGAATATTCTGGTATATAGAATTTGAATCTACATGAGTGAATTGTTATGAAATAAATATAATCAACTCTCCGCCAACGGACAATCAAATTGCTCCACTTACTGACACTTTTGAATAAATGTGAGCTACCATTAATTGGATCCTTGCGTTTGCGCAAAGATTTCTGGGATTGCCACGGGGCAAACATTGCATGTTACAAGAAGGAAATATAAGACGAAAGGTTGTTTCGATATCCAAAAAAAAAGGTTTTTAATAGAGACTATCGCTTTCTTCGCCGCAGTTTTATCATAAATGATAAAGATAATGTTGATACGAGGGAAGTGTAAGGACTGTAAGTCTTTGTTAGAATCACCACGTAGAGTTAATTACACGTCAAAAAAACTGAAAAGGCCTTAGTGAGTTATTCCTCAGCAATTTATGGCTAACATCTCTAAATTTTGAAAATTTTAAGCGATATCAAGTTTACAATAAACCTTGTGCATGGAGAAAAGTTGATCGGTATATTTTGGTACATATTTCATGGTTTTTCAAATAAAAACTTACACTTTCCTCCCATAAATATTACCCAAATCCATTTCTGATAAAACAGCGGCGAAAAAGCGATAATCTCTCTCCAAAATCGTTTTTTAGGCCGTCGAAACAACCTTTCGCCATACATTTCTTTCTAGCGAGTTGCAATGTATGCCCAGTGGGAATCCCTGAAATCTCTGCGCAAACACAAGGATCCGATTACTGGCAACTCATTCATTCTCATTTTTACCTTCCCGGTCAAACTCTGTTTTGACACATTCCCGGAGGCGGATACTCTCTCATAAGCGGACGCTGACCCTTGTTAAGGAGAAAATTTAAAATTGTTCTATCAAGTAGACGCGCCATGCACAATAATGTACTCTCGGCAAAAAAATTTGTCTTAATTTGCAAATCAACAGAAATACGACCTTTGACGAAGCAGCAGTGGGAATCAGTATCGTCAAATCTTCATTTCTCCGAGGGAAAGCAGGGTATCCGTTTGTTTGACATTAACAAGAGTCCGACATTATTTGTATTGTCACTTTATGGTCGCAACGGTCATAACTTTCCTTCTTGTTTTTTCCTTTAGCAGACATCCACCCTATTTTTCTATGGTGTCTGCTAGGGGGAATAATTATCGTAGGCGGATCGATCCAATAACGTACACTCTTTCCAATTCCAGTCGGTGTCCGCTGACGCAGAGTTGTCTGTGTTATAGAAGCAGCAAGCCCCCAAACAGAAGATCTCCATGACGATAAAAGATGTAGAACTGCGCTTTATTTAATAGTTTTAGGCTTTGTATGTTTTCTTTAAAAGAACTCCCAGATATTCAAAGTGTTTTCAAGGTTTGTCAAATCTCCCCTTCTTTTCTTGCAGTGTTTTTTTTTATGCTGGTAAGCTATAGACGGTGTGTAACAGGTAGTCGTAAATATAAATATGATCAATTGATTAGAGCACGAATATGATGGGAATTTAAATTTTAACTGCTTTAAGTTGTGTGTTCATAAAGATCCTAATCACTTTATTGCTTTTTATAAGTTCATTATACGTTCCCTACTGATCACGTACAAGCATCGATAAACAACTCCACAGCAAAATTGTGTTTACCCTTCGAACTACCCTTTCATCAACCACGTCATGTAAAGGGTTAGGTGAGGCGTTAACGAGTGTAGTTCACACAACAATTCCCTTACTTCTGGCCTTTACTCAGAGAAACCCTTCTTGGCCTCTGAAATATCTCACGAAACATTTCTCCAAATCACCGTCTTTTAAGAAATCGAAATGTGTGTGATAATGCTTCATAGAACTCATCGTTTCCCAAACAATACACCCATGGGTTGATTGCAGATGAAGTAAACGCTGTTGTTTCAACAAATGTCCACACGGTGTAGTAGTTTGCGTTATGAGACCCTTTGGTATTGAAGTAATGTACAAAACCAGTAATGAGACTTAGCAACCAGGAAACCACAAATAGCCCCACTATGATACTAACTGTTTTAGCAACTTTGTAGTTCTTTTTAGTTCTTCTAATAACGTCTTGATTCTGCTCACAGCAGCTCAGTCGTCGGGTTTATCCTATTGTAATGCACTTAGGCGGCTTTTAAAATTCGAAGAGAACAGAACATGATAATAGACATAGGAAATAATATTGTCATAACTGTAAATAATATGCACAATGTTGATAAAGCTATTATATCCTGAACCATGAACTTTGAGCAGGGTAAGACAAGGGATATAAACCATGCATTAGCTATCAGTAAATAACATCTTCTTTTGGTGAGAAAATCGTGGTAGCGCAGAGGATGAATGATGGCTACGTACCTGACCAGGCTAACACAGCATAAGTTAAATGTTGTTGCTACAGTAGTGTGAATCCATAGATAATCTATACTCCTACCGAAGGTTTCAATGTAGGTTTTATTAGAGTGATAACCCAAAAATCGTATGACTATCCAGACTGGGTCTGTAACAAGTCCCACGAAAAAGTCTGCTGCGGCCAACGAGGTCAGGAACAGGTTGGACATTTTTCTTAGAGATCTTTCTCTGAAAATCAACCACAGGACAATTCCATTTCCAACTATTGTCACTAACCCTGCGACACCCAACCACGTCGCTAAAGTGATCTTTGCCTCCAAAGGTAGCGGTTTACCTTGGTTTCCCGAAGTACGTGTGTCGTTCATTTCTACAGCGTCGACTTCTTTATCGACCTTCTGTTTCTCTTCTGATCAAAAACGTTTTCTGGTTACGAATTATACCAAATCTAGAGCGTTATTTGAAATTCATTTATGGGACGTCGGCTGTCTATTCGTCAAGATATAGTTGGCTTTGACGTTGATTGGTCGAAGTCAGTTCTCGGCAGATATTGTTCATATCTTTAGAAATTTTTTTTAACGTTTTGTCATCATTATTTTTATGCGAAGTGATCGTTGTTATTAGTTACATGCTGTTAGGCATTGTTGCGCTCGCCAGGAGGCATTCATTTCCTCTACGTTGATATTCATTATTAACCTTCAGTTCCCCTTCTGATCAAAAACATTTGCTGATTACAAATTGTACTTCACTCTGTGTGACATTTGAAATTAATTTTTGAGACTTTGACTGCCAATTCGTCGCGACGCTATTGGCTCTTATGTTGATTGGTAGAAGTTAGTCTTCCGGAGCTATTTTTGCCGTCGTTTATAATGTTTATCAGATCCATTTGTCGTTATCATTTCTATGCAAAGTGATCAAAACCTTTTCTTTTTTTACACTGTAAGCATTCTAGATAGACACTCCAAAATGAAGTTAGGAAAAAGATCTTTAACGTGCTACAAAGTGGACACTAGGATGGATGATATACAACGTTCAAGGTCACCTAAATCCAAGATGGCGTCTAGTTATCGATCGAGATGCATGTGTTGCGTTTTGGAAACAAACTCAAAGAGGAAGTTTGCTGTGGATTTATCTTTGCAAACCTTTTTAATTCACTATATCTCTAGGTGAGGTTATGTTGAAGCATTATAGTCGCCAATTTGGCGACAATTTTCAGGATTTGGTCACCAAAATGAATTTAGTCGCATTGGCGCCTGTATTAGGCGCAATTTCACACCCTGTTAATTAATTAATAATTAACCATTGTTGCACTTGTTAGGTGGCTTTCGTTACTGCTTATTGCGATTGATATGTCGTTGATACCTCGAAAGAGAAAAAAGATTAAATGGCTTTATATTTTATGGCAACGCTTTAGAGTGACTTGAGCATCGATATCGCGCGTGTCAGATCTAGAGACTGTGTGCAGTCCTTGTTGTTGTTAGCAGCGGCGAAGAACCTCTGAGACACCCTTAATGTAGGGAAGAACCACTGTAAATTTGAAATCTTGCCCGAGCTCTTCATTTTTTTTTTTACCTTTTTGTCGTTGGGATCTTTCGTACAAATGTGGGCGGATATCCGTTAGAAACAAGAAGTTATGGACCGCACGGTGCACTGAGACGAGAAAGATGACACCATTCTTTTTTTCTTGATACCGACTCACACTGATCAATATTTAGCCAATGATTCACATCACCATCAGTCAATAAACCGGGGTATCGCTTAATGTTTGTAAGACTGGGCCTAACAGCTCATTACAAAACCATCAGCTATCTCTTAAGGAGGCTCCATAGAGTTTTTGTTCAATGTTGGCGCGCGCGCCAGCGTAATTTTTTTCCAGAAAATGTTTATGTTTTCGCCTTTCATGGTCAGTAAAAGCCATCAAAAGGCAATGAGTAAGGTTCGGACTATCGTTTGCTTTAGTAAATATTATCAAAATGACTTTCGTTATAAAGCGAAGGCTCCACGAAGGAAGGCGCTCGCCAGCGATAATTTGGCTTTGGCTGATTTTCTTCAATTTGCCTCTGTGAAATCTCTAAAAATTTTCTCAGTTTGTGAAAATTGTTCTGCCCATCACTTAAAAGCCGAAAAAAATAGGGGTTACAAAGACAGTTTCTTCGCTATTTGCAATTTGTGTTTTCTTCCTCTATCTCAAATTTGAGCTTATGGATTTTTTTAATCAACGTGTACAGGCACCAGGAAGGACACAAATATGTTTAACCGTCCAGCAAATCTTAGGAAATTCCACTGAAGGAAAAGCGATAAATCTTACTCAAAAGATCCCTAATTTCTTTGTCGCAAAACATTACGTTATGGAATAGACCTTCGCCGATATTTATATCTGAGCATACGTTGACTTTCGAATCTGTCGCCTTTTGGCAATCTTTCCCGCGCTTATTCTTTTCGGTTGACCTCTTTTTCAGGCATAGAAGGCCTATGAATATTACGGGTGCAGTTGCTGGAAACGCTACATTCCATCACATAAAAACTGTATTGTGTTAAACTGTTTTTAACACAACTTTTCGGGTAACAATCGTGCGATCGTATCGAGCCGCCATGTTTGTTTAGCATGTTGACACTTTTAAAGCTCGTGCTATGTACGTTCGTCTAGTTATTTATCACCATCGTCGTCGTTTATGAGACAGTTAAAATCATGTATTGTAATGCTGGGTAGTTACCAGAGCGACAAAAATCATAATATTGTCACTATCAGCGAATCTGTTATTTGGCTATGATGCGTAATCGCAAAAACTTTATACATAAGCGTTTCCTTTTCTTTTTTATCCGTAGTCCTTTCAAGCGACAAAACAAGTGCAAAACTGTCTTAACGTTTCCTTAACGGCTCTTTGAATTTCTGTGATCTTCCAACAGTAAAGAATGGGATTTAGCAATGAATTAAGGTTGACTAAAATAATCGCGAAGACTAATGCCACAAATAGTGTTAAGTTTAATCCACGAATAAGCGTTATGACCGTGACTAATGTAAAAGGAAGATAGCATGACATTAACGTTAAGTGAACCCAAAGCGAATTGATGACTGTCTTTCTGTATCGCGCCATCATCAGCTTGGCACCTGCTCCTTGGCACCCATGATCTTGCACGGCCTTTCGCCGACATCGAAAATAGTGAAAGGTTCTTGTGTAAGAGTAGGTCGAGATTGTTATCATCAACATGGTCGTTACACCGCTCGCAATTGCGAATGCCCTGATGCTCCAGAACGAAACGGCTCCCATCAAAGCGCTTTGGACCCACAATAAAAAGACGACAATACGAACTCGCTTTATGGTGACAACTTGTCTATATCGTATTCCTAACAAGAGAGCCATGAGTCGATCCACAGAAATGGCGGTTATCGTCGACAAAGATACACCGGAGAAAATTGTACTTAACAGAAATGCTACGTATTCCAGCAGTCGACATTCTTCAAAGGTGCTTTGGCTTATTCCTGTCCGAGTGAGAGCAATTGATACTGATTGTGAAATAACGCCAGCGCAAAGGTCAGTGATTGTGAGATTAAAAAGCAGCAGTTTGGATGGAGGATTAAGACTGTTTTCTCTGCGAAGGGCGACCAGAATCAAAATGTTTGCCAGAGTAGTCGCTACAGAAAGAAAACCATACATGACCGTACAAAATATTGCCAAGGTAGGGAGATGATATTTATTGCCATAATGCCCGTAGCAAAACACCGATCGGTTTGTCAATCCGAGGAAATTCATAATTTCTTCTCAACAACACGAGTCAACGCAAAGGTCGGATGTTTCAGAAAGTGATGTTTAAGCTCAACGAGAAAAGTGATGTCTTTGGTTCTTCAGTTCTCCAACATTACAATCACTCCAAGTATTGTCACTTTATAGAGAGTTGATTGGTGAGGTTATTTTCATTTAAATGCGCTATCAAATGGAACAGTTTCAATTTATTTCAGTTTCTAACAAAAGTCCACGGAAGAGATAAAGACAACTAAAAGGTGCTTAGCTTAAGGACCTGGCGAGAGGACAAGTGTACCACGTGGCCATTTTAATTTACATTTTAAATTCTGTAATATTCTTCCTTCGATTCCAAGCTCGTGTGTTTTGTGGCACGTTGCAATGTGTTATGTCTAACCAAAAAAAGGCCACGTATGGCACTTATTGAGAGAAACGAAATGATACTTAACGAAATATTACTTTGAGAAATGGTACTCTGCTAAATGATACTTCGCGAAGTAACACTTTCCTAAATTAAAATTGTACGAAATGGTACTTTGTAAAATGACACTTTACGAAATGGCACATTGCGAGATTTCAATTTGCGATTAAACTTTGGGAAATGGTATTTTGTGAATTAGTTTATTACGAAATCGTACTTTGCGCCGTTGTACTTTTACGAAATCTTAATTTGCTAAGTGGTCATAATGTGATCAAAACATGATACGTGTATTTTCAACTAGTGTTTTTTCATAAGAGTGAATGTTACCAATGGTCAAACAATTGGTGGCAACAGCTGAAAAATCAATTTTGCTCATATTTCAAAGTTAGGCAGGCCTTAGAGAGAAACAAATCACTGCATGCTTCGTTTGGCTGAATATCGATTTATTTTCGAGAAAATCGATAATATCTGAATTCCGCCAAAATGCCGCCTTTGAAGCTCTACATTTTAGGCGAATCTCGGAAGGTCGCGTCACAAAATGGAGACCTTAAGCAAATTACGACGGCGACGGCAACGAGGACATTGACCTACTAAGCATGTGGAATTTAGTTTCTCACTTTCTACTCATTTTTTGCGCAGTCCTATTAAGCGTACAAAAGAGCACAAAACTGTGTTATAGTTTCCTTTGCTACGTTTTGAATGTCTTTGATCTTCCAACAGTAAAGAATTGGATTTAGAAAGGAATTCAAGTTGATGAAGGCAACTGTCAAGACTTGTACCTTGTAAAGTGATAAGGTTAATCCACTAGTAAGCATTATAGCTGTTATTAGTGTAAAAGGGAAATAGCATGCTACTGACATTATGTGAACCCACAAAGAATTGATGACTGTCTCTTCATATCGTTCCATTGATAAGTTGTCTATATCGTATTCCTAATAACAACGCCATTCAATTTTAAAAGAATTATAAAGAACAGTTAATCATCATATGAACAGTAAATTTGTGCTCAAATCGTATTTGTCCTGATCAAGTGCTGAAAACGTTTTGAGTGGTGGCCCTTTTTTTTCACATATTGGACCAAGTTGATGGCAATTTTGCTGACAAGTGCCTCATTCTAAAAGAAAAACCTACCGCACCGGTTTTTGAAGAAATATGCTCTCCTGTCCGACATCAT